TAGGGTCCCTTCATTCCCAGTGGGCCTTTAAAAGGGAAAGTGTAAAAGGTACTTTCTTCTTTCCGCATGCCTACGTAACGAAATTGGAAGTATACTCGACATGTATTAGAGAGGTCCTGGTTTCCAGTCCCGGCGAGGACACTGTGCATTTTTTCACATATTCTGCTCCAAAAAAAAAGTTATGACTCTACAAGTATAACAGAATCTTCAATAATATTCACAAAGAGTTATAAAAATTGTCGCTGTTTACTGGGTAATTTCAATCTTATTTTACAATTTTTTGTTTACTCCGTGAAATATCGCTTTGTTAATAAAATTTTATTTAAATCATCTATAAAACTTTATTATTTTGTTATATCTCAAGTGAAATAATATATACGTTTACGATGAGAAAGGAGAATTATCGAAAAAAATGTCGAAAAAAATGTGTTTTTTAATTTGGTTAAAGGAAATAAAATAAATAACCTCTTTTTATTTTATTTATGCGTATGCTCTTTGTTGAAATGAAAACTGAAAATAAAATAGTGATAAATGAAAAAACGCGAGATAAATCTGATGAACGAAAAATAAAATTATTTTTCTTGGAATGCAATGCGTATTTAGCATACAGGAAAGAGGAGACTTAAATTATGCATTTTAAATCAGCTACGGCCCGAATATATTTGCCGATTACTTCCCATTTGGGAGCACCAAATTGCTTCAAAGCACAAAACTCCTTAGTTATAATAATTGGTTGCAATATTTGTGATGCTCCAGTTTATAGGATATGTATATGTACCAGTTATATGTATATTTTCCACTTTATAGGATATATGTATGTAATTATGGTATTTTACTTATTATCGCCGTAATCTCATCTTATCTCTATTGGTTAGCAAATATATGTTCTAAAATATAATACTTATTCCGAAAATGAAAAAAAAAAAAGAATGGGAAGTATTTGACAGAGAAAAAGGCCCTTTGAATTGATAACAGGATAAAAATTTTTAAAATATAGAAGCGATAAAATTATAAATAATAATAATTATTAAAAGGAATCCAAGACATGAAATATTAGCTAAATCAGAAAATAGTCATAAAAATTAATTATTCAAGCTGAAATGTAAAAGGAATTACAAAGCTCTCATTTAATGTTTTACTCTTAAACAACTGAGTCTCTTGGGATACGAGAAATTTAAAATCTCTGATTAGGTTATGTTTCCATGTGATAATTTACCATTGTTTCTGTCAAGAATGGGATTTAACTCGAAAATGTGATGTGTTAAAAGTATGACTTCTCTTACTAAAGACACACTGATATTCATGAAATTCTCAATTGTTATAACGTGAGGGGGAGAACTTCAAAATACAATTCTCCTAGTACGCATACCACGTTTATTGAAAGCCATAATTTTCCAGTATGAGGAAAGAATGAATATTTACATTCCATAACAAAGAATGACGCACTTACTCATTTAACAATGAACTCCCGAAAACATTGTTATGTATATTTCAGACAGCAAATTTTGTAAGCCAAAGAGAAACAAACAGAATAGTTAAACTGCAACGCGTAGCAGACATCATTTCCTTGGGTATATTTAACATTTTTTCCCCTTTGCTTTTTCTGTATTCCGAAAATAAAAAAAATCAAGAGGGAAAAATTATGAGAGTTGTGTAATTTCCGAAAGACGCGGTTACAGTAAGAACATAACAAATGAAAAGCAGTCATAGATAAATTAGTGGTGAATATCTCAATAACATTTCTTTAAAAGAATACCTACGTTCCAATAAGAATGCATATTAATATTAATAATACAATATTTAATAAGATATCTTCCTTTTTGTTTCCTTGTGATTTAAAAATTTTGTTCGTTCTTATTGTTGTCTCTGCTACTCCTTAGACCTCAAAATCATTCATAAATAATTAGAGAAGTTGAATGAGCAGCTGACTCAATGAAATCGCAGACTGGACATTAGTTCGTGTTTTCTTCGTTGTGAATTGTCAGTTCCTGTATTAGGCTGACATGAAGTTCAAACGTTAGAAGGAATATAAGGTGTTTCTCCCGCCTCCTTCGCATGCCTTCCTGGTGTGGTAGTCTGCACGCTGGCCGCGTATTACAGAGGTTCGTGATTCGATTCCAGGCAAAGCCCTTGCTAATGTTTCAGCTCTCCAGGCTCCAAATTACCTAATGTCTCTACAGGGAATGCTACAAGTGACTTTTCCAGGTAGTTTGGGAGGAATTGTCTTTGTTAGTAAGACGAAAACAATCACTATGTGTACGAATCTACTTTAAAATTTAAAGGCGCGCGCTTTCTGAACGCCCTGAGGAAGTAGAAATTTACGTTATATGTAAAATGTGTTAGAGAAAAATAAAATACGCGAGGACGTAAGGTGTAGATATACGCATAGCAATCACCCATGACTTGCTCTGCCATTCCCACCATAGGTATGACGCCACAGGTTTCAAGACTTTGCATTGAAATTGCATTGGCACAACAGATGACACAACATCTGTTGATTGAAATTGCATTGGCACAACAGATGACAAATCACACCGATCGTTGCGCCAGCCTTCGGCATTTATGTGGACACATACTTCATGAAAAACGTATTATAAAAAGAAAGATATTAGCATAAACATGATACAATATATACACTGTTTACAGTGGCTTTTTGTCCTATTGGACATGATTTATATTGGGCTTTCTATTACAGTCTTATGACGTCACGTGTGACATTTATACAGTATTTGATGATTTCTTTGACACTTTTTTTTATAATAAGTATCTTTATAACGAAACTGGAAGCTTCATGGCTCTGTAATTAATGGGAAATTGTTCACCGCGGAATGCCTTCTTCTAATAACAGTTTCGGCTATAATATAGTACTCATGCCTCTGAAAAATGCAATCCACATGAGCACTTTACAGCTTGTTGTAGAAAACGGTCCAAATAGGCTGGACACCTGCCGTGTTTTGTGTACGCTTTCATAAGGAAGACGTCTGTCCTGAGCCTAGCTGTGAAAACTTCCTGGAAGATGCTGTAAGTATGACGTCTATTGGGATATTCATCCGATCTGTTTTGCCAGAGTCCTGTAACGCACTGGTGGATCCTGTGCTGGGCGACCTCTTCTGCGAGTGGGACCCCTACACTGACTGATGTAATGTTAGTAGTTGATTTAACAAGGCTATCTAACTGTTAGTTGGCCTTCTTATCCTGATGTGCTGTTAACCAATTGAGGCAGAGTGGGGACCCCACGTTCTATGCGGGAGAGGGTGTTCTTGAGCTCGAAAATGTGCAGCAGGATGTCGCCTTTCTTGCTAAGACTTTATGGAACACTCATACTGTCCGAGAAGATCGAGATATTGGAAACGATTGACTCATCTGTCCCCAAAGCCGCGTGTCTAAATTCTTCACATTCCGCATGAAATGCGGAAGCTTTGTCACTCAGCTGGAAGAACAGCGAATGAGTCTATGTGTTTTATGGAATACGAAAAAGGCTGCTCCTTACCTTCTCGTTCATCTTCTTGAGGAGTTCTAGACCTTACTCACTGGGTAGGTGTCTATTCCAAGGGAAATCCTGAATTGCGGCTAGATGCTGTGAGCATTTAATGTGCCGTGTTTGTTGGTTGCAAGTAATTCCTTGGAATTATAAGGTACTCATTTATTTTTATTTCCTTTTGATAATCTGCCTGAACATGTTCTTTTCCGCCACAGCCGTAAAGTCGAACGGTATTACTCCTGCAAGAGTCTGTAGGAATGATGTGGATGTGGTTGAGAAAACTTTCTTTATTTTCAAGAGGGTGATTCTCTGGAAGTTTTTGATTAATTCGAACTGTATTCGTAATCCTAATTGGACAACCGTGTAAAATCATAAATTCCACTCCTTGAAGGTAAAGTTATTTCAGTAGGCGTCCTTTTCGATTCCAATTCTGGTCCACAATCCTATTTAAGTAGTTTATAATTGTATTGTATTTGATCTTGATTTCCGCAAGCTGCGGCATCCATGCAAGTTTCTTGTCCAGGTGGGAGTCAAGATATTTAAATATGTCCCGGCATCGGAGTGATAGAGCTTGCTATTTAATTCTTAGCGAGTGGTTTACCAGTTGGTTGCTTTTGGGAAGATTATCATTTTGGTATCTTTGTATGCTTTCGCACAATGGTTGTCCCATTATCTCCACTTATGATTAGAAAAAATCATACGAGTAGATTTGAATCTGGGCGTTGTCCTCAAATTCTATATTTTAAAGCCGCGTTGGAGATGATGATCATAGGACCTATGCTTGAGTTGTGTCGTTGTCCTTTGCTGCACTTGTAATATTAACTCCTTCTTCTCTATACTTCTAAATTCTTCTTCCTTTATATATTATTTTTCGTTTGTTGCAGTAGCTTTTAGTAAGGTTGAAATTCTTTTGAACATTTTACATGAATCAGCTGTTCCAGTAAGACCAGTTACAAGAGATGGTTAAATGCTGATGAGATATCGAGAGAGATCACGTGTGTGTATTGTCTGATGTCCTTCTTATTCGTAATGGTTTCCCTTTTCACTCGTGCATTTCCCCTCTTCGTAATCGTAAATTGTAATTTAACCAATATTAATTTTTAAAATTTTCCTTTTATATCATTATTCTTCAATTTCAGTATTCTGACAATCTTTTTCTATGATCTAATTCTATATTGAAAAAAATTCTTTTACAAAAGCGTTTTGTGTATTTTAACTTATATTACAAATGATTACAACATACAGAGGTTTATAACATATTAACTTTTCATCTATGACACTGAAATCACAGATCACATTAACCTTAACTAATGTAATCCAGTCAACATTTTGGTAACCTCCATTCGAAGAATAATTCAATCATACATACACTTGGCCCTAGATGTTATGCATGTCTCTTTTAAAAAAAGTGTCTATTTCAGTGCACTTATAACATTGATTATTTTAAAATAGTCTTTAATACTTTTAGTATCTTAAATACTTTCATTTGTAAAATGAATTTTTCTTTAAATTTTTTCAGTTGCTATGATTCAGACATGCGCTGATACAACATTTGGTTGCTGTCCAGATGACCAGACAGCTGCTTCGGGACCTAACAATGCTGGGTGTCCAAGTAAGTAATATTAGCTTTCAATAAAGTATCGTATTTTGATCTGTCTCTTAAATTTCAATGCCGAACATTTTATCTTTCTCTAAACAAAATGATTCATCATTTGGCATGAAAAATTCAGCTTCTCGTTTGAACCAAGCTTATGCTTGAAAGTATAAACTATATCCTGAGGTTTCACAGGCACAGGTGATTGAAATCTAAATTCCTCTACTTTCTTTAAATAAAAATCTGTCGGAATATTTAACTGTTGAAAATATTTTACTATATGTCCCGTGCTCATCTCTGGCACCGGAAGGTTAAGTTTTATATTTTTGCATCTAATACGTTTTAAAACTAAATTCTTAAATTCGGGATTTCCGTTATGATAAGATTAACTGAGTTTAGGTGCTCAAATACCATTCTAAGCATGAACCTTTGTGACCACCTTTAGGTAAGTCAGCTCCTAAAATTTATCTCCAGAATTTCATCTCAATAATTCGTTTTAAAAACCTTCGGGCTTTTGTTTGTTTTCCTCCTTTAAAATTGGGATGAAGCTTTAAGAAGTACATTTAATTTGGGTTTGATTATAAGTACAGAAGCAAAGTTTTATTCGCAATTTTTAGATTACTCCATCAATGCTGTAAGCTTTCCATTACCGGATGCTGAATTTTGAGTTCATAAATATCAACAGTTAACACAACAGTTGCCGATATCACTTAATATTATTTTGCCGATTTATATGTTCCTCTCTTTTGTTTTTCTTCTTTGTAATTCAAATCCTATGTATAAAGTATAAAGAAATTTTTTAGTCGCAAAATTTAAATTGCAGCTGAAGATTGATTAATTTCCGAGAATTATTCATTTCCAATGCCATTATTCCGTCAACGTTAAAGTTGGTTACCATCGAGGTTGGCGAAGATCCCGTAAAAAGCACGCCAGTCCTTCCTGCAGAATTTGGAACGAGTTGATGCCTCGTCAAGCAATCAATTTTCGACCAACTTAACGTTTACACTTCATAAACCGCCTTTCGTCGATTTCCACTATTTTCTTAACCCTCTGATTTTACCGTGTTTTGTAATTTATTTTATCGTATCGAATCGATTGTAGTAGAAATCGGGGTTCTTGGCGTGAACGTGGAGGTCGTCATAATAACAGAACTGCAGAAAATCGATATGACGATTCTCAGAAGAGTTTAGAAAATAGAGACAGGAAATGTGAGAAACATGGTACTACGCATAAAAAGGACTGCCAACTGCAGCGAAACCAACTGGCAAACAAGCACATTCTGCATCTCCACCAGTTAAAAGGAGGGAAGAAGGTGTTCAACACCAAAAATAGCAACTTTGTATAAAGGTTCAATGAGTTTATATAAAAGACTGAAATTAAACTACTTAACCGTAGTCAATAAATTAGGCAAATCTGCGATTTCTTCTCCCATGAGCGATTCATCACATACATCCTTGATATCTCAAGACAAATTAGAAATTCCTGTCAGGAGTGAAGCCAGACATAAAGAAAGTTAAGAAAGGAAATCTAGGTAGAATAAAGATGAATACGTGATGATGATTTCAGTGACTGGAGTGATGGTGATGATGATTTACTAAGTAAAAAAGAATTTGCCAAGTCTGGAGCTAATAATAAAAATTTTAAAACTCGGCATAATGCTGATAGAAAGTTTGACGATGTGCGTTTTGGAAATTCCATACATATAGAAAAATATTGAAAAGAAAACACAGAAAAGATTAAATAAACAAGTAGCTATTCTAATAACAAAGACAGGTCTAATGATGAAATTGTATGTCCCAAGGAAAAATCAGTATCTGAAGTGAAAGAAACGGATTAAACAGCTGCAAAAATTGAGTAAAATGGTGCAAGCAGTATGGTAGTACTGGAAAAATAACTATACGAGTGCAATGGGAGGAGGAACTAAATGGTTCTTTAAGAAAGGAAACGTAAAAAGAGAAATCATGGTAATTTTAAAAACTGACAACGTTCCTGTACGTAACTGGCCTCTTGGCTTCTAGGCAAAGACCGTAAAATCAGATTAATTGCAGTGCAACGCGATTTAAAACCAAAAAACATTTTCTTGTAAATACACTTATGCCCAAAAATTAAGCAACAAACGCTAAAAGAAAAAGAAAGAATGAAAAAATGGGAATCAAAACATGCAATTTACATGTGAGGTACAGGTTGCATTGCCAAATGCAAATGGGCAACAAAACTTAGCATGAAACGCAATTCAGCAATCACAGCAGGACACCTTAAAAAGGGGCATGTATGACTTATGTGTCAGTTTGCAATTAGCGAATGTTCCCTGTAATCCCAAATAGCCAAAGCGGAACCCGTGAGCTGAAAAATGAAATACGATGGAAGTCTATTGAGATGTTGCAAGCTGGTGCAAGACTTTCGTGAGAGATCTGAATGTTTATTGTATTGTCATCAATAGCCTGTGGAATCGTCTGGACGCCAGAGATTTACCAGAACGGCAGAATTTCACTTCCTGTTGCTAGGTTCAAGAGGCCGTAGATCATTAACAGCATTACAGCTAGTATCACTTTCCTCTGCTACTGCAGAATATCCCATATCAAACAAGATTGTGTCACTTTGACTGCATGATGTTGATCTGTGATTTGTCTTCCTCTGTAGCCATGGCATATCACAGCGCGATTGCATTAGATCCGTGAATATGGACACCAAAGCATTGTGTCCAAGATCACTAAAGGACTCTCTTGGTGCCAGGGACTCGCTGTCAGGCGTCAAATTCCTCCAAAGACACTCTTACAGAAGAGGAGGAGGTCTACTTCCATGGGCTTCGCAAAGAACGGACGCTCCTACCTCTTTATTCTTCCTGTGGTTCCGTCATAGCCTTCCGATATCTCAACGGAATTCCACATCCTCTTATGCGTCCTTTTATCTCTGCAATGTGTACCAACGCAATATTTATGGACGATAACGCCCGCTTGCATAGAGCTTGAGTGGTGCGGAGTTATCTGGAGAGGGAAACTATTCTGCATCTGCCGGGGTCTGCTAGATCACCGGACCTACGTGCCATAGAGCATGTGCGGGATATGTTGGGACGGCGCGGCGGATAGCGGATCGCAGAAATCAATCTCCAGGCAATCTACACGAGCTTCGATATGCATTACTATAAGAATGGGCTCTACTGGCACAGCAAGCTATCAACGACACTATTACCAGCTTGCCTCGCTGTTGTCAGACATGCATTTCAAAAATAGCGTATCATACACGTTAATACCCGGATTTTTCCATTGCGCTTTTTTCCGACCCATTTCGTCTTTCGCGATATGATGGTAGTAATATATGTGTTTTGTATCTCTCTGCTTTATTGTTTACTGTGTGGTTTAATAATGCCACGCCAACCTCTTGGATCAGTTTCACGTATAAGATTACATATTAAATTGCGTATTAAATAGTTTTGTTTTACTTCGTGTTTTACCTTTGTTGCTTATTTTTTAGTAGGAGTGTAATTATTGTGTTCTTTTATTATAGTTAACCTCGTAATTGCAGTTTTTTACTATGCTGATGTATACAAATATTTAACTGTATTTTTATATTATCACATTTTGTAAAATTTTTCATTGTAAAGTTTGCACTTCCTGATCGATAATATCATATCACGGCAGCAGTATGTTGCGTTTGCCACACATAACGATACTTTCTTGCTATGCTTTTCTATGGTTGACTGCCAAGTGAGGTAGTATATTTTTAAAAATATTGATAGCATTCATGGCTGCGAATGGTTATGAACGGTGTAAAGAGTATGAAAATAAAATTTTAAAAAGTTGAATACAGTCCGTCATATTTGAGATGTGAATAAATGCTTCGCTTATAAAATCGCACTTTTTCCAAGAATCGAAATGGTAATTTACAACTATTAAAAATAGCGTCTCCAACTGATTATTATACACTTGGAGATTTGGAACAATTGCATTTGTAAATTTTACTGCAAAATTAAAATAAATATTAGTTTTGATTGTATGAATCAGCTCATGTTGAGATTCATAGGATACCCGATATTTCAAGTATTTGAAATTCAATTATAATAGAGGACTTTGGAAATTTAGTTAAAATCAACTTACTATCAAATATAATATAAAATTTTTTAAGGGAAAGCTATTTTTGCAAAGAAAACCTGCTTGAGTTATCATAAGATGCTAGTCGCAATGTGATAAGAACTAAATTTAAATTAACATTTGATGTAAAAAATATTTAATTGCATCATTTCCAGATACTTTTCCATGAAACGTAAAAGCTAGAACTTATTTTTATTATTTTGAAAATATCTCCCTACACTTTAATTAAGTATAAGAACGAAAAGTTTTTTATGCAGTTAAAGCTATTTTTAATTAAATCTCAAGGGAATTACACTTTTGATACGTATTGATATAACAGGAATTTTTTTTATAAATTTACGTTGTATTTACTGACAGAAACACTAGCAACTGTTATAAATTTCAAGGTGTATCACATATTTTTTTTTAATTTAACCGACTGTGAATGTTTTATTCGTACATTATTCTTAATCTTTTTCCCCCTTCTGTATTTGCTCTCAAGTTTCCTTATTTGAAGAAGACAACTGCTGTTAATATCTTTCTTTCAATAAAAAACTAATCAACTGTTACATTCGGAAAAACTAATCAAGCGTTTTCTTCTCTTATATTGTTCGAAATTCTTTTATGCTCATCTCGGTTTTTAACACAAAGGGAAACCTATTCCAAATGAGTTACTGAAAGAAGCCAAAGAACGTCGCAAACCAATAAAAAGCTGGTTTGTCAGAGGCTTCCTTTTCATTCATCTAAAAATCTCAACGAAAATAGCAACATAAGGGAGTTTTCTTGAACAACAGCGAAACAAAAGTTGGATTATTTTGAAAAACATAATTACTGTTTAACTTTTTTATACTTATAAATTTTGTCAGGTAATCTATTTCAATTAAAAGAAGAATGATATTAATGATATTAGGATGTAAACCAGCTAATTAAATTAGATTTCCTTTGAAAACA